ATATATAGGTAGGTAGACCAGACTTATGGTTGTACGGTAGTGAAGCATCAGTGCTAACACTGTTGTTGCTGTCTTCGATGATGATGATGACTGGACTCGAGTTTCGCTCTTATTGGAACTCATCAGCAGTGCATATCCAATGGCGGATCTGATATGCGAAGCGAGCGTGTAACCACTACTCCAACAATGCACGTTGGACGCATCTGAATTTTCACGTCTGAACAGGTGAACGTGTTCACACTTGAGCGACTCTTTACACTCTGGTTGAAAATTGCGTTTCTACGTGTGAATAAACATGGTTTGAAGTTCATTTCGGAAAAACTTGAAGAAAATGAACATACCATACCTAATGAGCGAATGAGTTACTAGCTAGCTGTAATTGCCCGCAACTAATGACCAATTAAACCAAACAAGAATATTTCCTTTGAGAAACTGGTCAATAAACAAACCAGCCTTAGACGAGAACAACTAATTACAAGAGCACAGTCGGTTTCTTAAAAGAAACTGCAGAGTTATGAAAAGATACTATGACCGTAACCGAGGTTTCAATTTATACTCGGGCCTCGGCCTGACGGTATGTTTGAAAAATAAGATCACAGGAATGGTGTGAGACTGTGAAATAGCCTCATTTTATACAACGAGGCGGATCATATGGTCAGTATTTCTTTCTGTGAACCCTAGAATCCGGATCCTATCTCGAAACGCCCTGCAGTGAAATTATTCCCAGACACCGGTCCACATCGAACATCATAAAGCTGAGCCGGTTACCATCCTGGAGAACAAAGGTTCAGACGTCTAAATGTGTTTGGTTAATACGAGTTTCCGCCCGTTTGTTTGGCGGAATATCTCGTTCGACATTCTTGGGTTCTTTATCGGTTGGGCTTCCTACAAAGTTCTGTTCAATTACTTACACGTACTTTTCGGGTGAAAATGACTTGTTTGAATAAGGTTTGAACAAGTTTCAAAATACCTTAGTCCGGGCGACCGATTCTAAATTCTACTAAGGGGTTTTCTAAGCTGAGGAGTTAGGTGAATCTCGGTTCCAAATTCTACTGCCGCATGATGAAAACGGAACAAACATTCTTTGAGGTAGGTGGTACCCATTTGTTGTTCACTTCTATATTCTACGCTGTCTGCTGTTGGCAGAATTTCGGTGGACTCTAAGGCGTAAGAAGTCCTATAGCTGTTCTATCGATTCAAACAATCTCATGGCTGAACAATAAAGCAGAAACCCGCAACAAGCACTATCCAAAAATTTTCCCAAACCTGACAAGTTGCGTCATTTCTAAGAGAACAAGTGGAATCTACCCGCGTTTGTCCGTTAACAACGAAAGCGTTTGGAGGACAGCATAATCAATATGTCAAGCTGAGTTTCAGTCATGCGTTTTTTTATTTACAGCCAAATGTACGTTGTCCACTTTACTACCTATTCACACTGCACAACTCTCAGGACATAAAATTTGAACAATCATCGTGAAAGAAAACTCCCGTTGCAAATACGTTAATGGCCTTGAAATGGCTTTATTTACTGGGGATTCTGTTCTCTGATAGGCAGTTTTTCGGGAGTGCTTGTTCTATTATTTGACGGGGCGCATAGGTTCTGCGGGCGCTCGAATGCATTTCGTGAAAAATGAATTTCACTAGTCAAGTGAGTGAACAGGTGAGTGTTTGGAACGATAACATAGTATTCATGATATTCCACTGAAAGTCCGCCGCAAAGTGGTTAGCCTCTGTGGCACTATCCCAGTCAAAAAAGAAGGCGAGTTCCACGCTTTCAGCGCATGAGGAATTGACTTTCCTATCCATATTATCGGGAACAAGTGTGTGGTTAATAGAAACACTGCGCAACACGCCATACAGGTGATAGAGGGAATGAAAGATTCTAACTCGTATTGGCGAACGGAAAAACCCCTCTGCTGTAAAGTCGTTTTAGGCATCAGGGCGGAGCTTAGACATGGCCCCGTGCTACTCACAAAGCTCAGTAGTAGTACAAGCCGTTACATTGGTAGTTGGGCTTCAGTGCGTTGATTATGCTGAGAGTTTCGCTTTCGGGAACCCAGGCTTATCAGTTTCAAGCAAACAGGAAGGCAGAACTGGAATCTGCCTGACGGATTTCATGAGATCCCTTGACAAGAAAGCAGAACCTTGTGATACAGCATACCCCTCAATCATATTCACTACCGCAGTACACGCATTACACAGGTGGTGACTTTGAATAGCCAAAGTCGACCGAACCGAAATGCCGCATAGCGGACCTGATAGCGCAAAAGTCATAAGGGACCACAATCCCGTTTATAATCTGCTACAAACCCATGCTTTCGCAATAGACAACAGAAATTAGCTGTAAGTTAAAAGAATCCTTCTTTTGTAAAGGAAACTACTCACAAGGTTGCTGAAAACTCTTCGGTATCCACGACCGGTTTCGCCTTTCTTGGGGTTTATCAGTCTCCAAGTTTCCGTCAACTTGTAGCTTTCGATTTTCTGATCATCATGACGGAAGACCGTTGATTTCGCGTGTTTATGCCACGGATAACACCTTAGTAGTGACAGAACAACACAGACTATCATCAAGCACCTATATCTGACCGTCCCAAACTTCTGACCCGCAAAATTTACACCAACGTTTTGTGGTATCACATCACTCCAATCAACAGGTCATTGGTCTCAGTCACTTGATCATGTTCGCAAATTAAAATACATGTACACTGGCCTCATTAATTGGGTCGATTCATACTCACCAAGTATACATCAGGTATAAGCCCGCAATTTTGTCTACAGCAGTACACGCAGTACAGGCAGCATTGTTCAGGCGAATGTATGAAAAAGAATTTCAAAATATCGTCAAATTTAGGCATAAAATCCCGCGGTTGAACGGCTATCCAGAATTCCACACCGCTGTAGTCACTTGAAATTTTGAGGATTTTTGTGAAGTATTTCACAGGATGCTGTTTAGCACTGCATGCTCATTTGTCGTTCTGTGATCGTAAAATATCTCCAGGTCACAAATTTTGCCCTTCGTTTCAGCGCTATGCCATCAAATTGTATGCACATTTATTGTAAAAACTGTATGCTCACATGATTAATGCCATCTGAAACTGCATGTGCAGACAATATCGGATCGGCTAGGATGCCACATATTGTCGAAAATCTTCAAGATGTGCACTGCAGCTCCAGATAACCCAACATGTCCGTAACCAGTTGACAAAGTTTACAACTGTCCTATGTGTGACAAATCGTTTGTTCACCTGTCCAGAGACTTGGAACATCAAATTCTCATTCAACCGATCGTGATTTTCTATATCCATGCATAAAAGCAAACTTCATAACCAGGTGAGAAGAACACAGGTAAATCATGTTGATTATGTACCTTCAAAAACTTGAACTCAAAAAGCGCGAGAATCAGGGGAAAGAAGTAACCCGTGTCCTGAATGTCACAAGAATTTTGTACGGTGGAACATTCTTCAACGACATTGCAAATCGGCTCGCGGAACAGAAGAGCACCATGCGTGTGACGAGGGTGGAAAGCTTCTGGGACACAAATGGCACCCTTTCCGACACATTAGAGAGGTTCACATGAAGGACTGCATACAATTCAGTGCATACTTCAGCCATATTAACTGTGCTGTTTGTCAGTGTGGTAATCTGGATGTCATACTTCCTCGTTAGAATCTTTTGTTTTGTGAGCCAGATAGCATGATTTGGCATTGGCGAAGTTCGTCGAGGTTATGTACTTTAAGGTTTGACAACTTTGCCTGGCGCTTTCTAAGCACATTCTGGGTTCTCATTCACACCACTAGGTTCAAGAATGATTGCAGGCAGAATGAAACTTTGGTATACTCTTTTTGCTTATTTATATCTAAGTGGAATCCGGAGTGATGGAAACAGGCATTCAGCCTAATGGGCTGACCATCAGCGTCCTAGCAGTTACTACATGCTTCCGAAGTTGTTCAAACTTCTGGACGCTAAAAACGTTTACGAAGTTCGAATGCCCACAAAAGGCGCCACAAACTTATTCAACATTGGGACCTTGTTTGCTTGATTTAGTCGACCAAAACGTTTCCAATGATTAACCGAAGACGTTTATTTTGGACAACGTGAAATTGACGGAAACTCGGGGGGGGGGGGTTAAACGCATGAAACCCACACGGATAAAATCGATTGCGAGAGAAGGGCGTATTTCTCGCAACATTGTGGGTAGTGTTTCGTGATGAAGAGTTTCGACGAATGATGCAAAAATAGATTTTTCTAGTTTAGAAATGGAACATCGCGTGACTGTTTTCATGCTCCACCGTGTACTGAGATATGTTTGGGAGATTTGCTGATTGGTTATGTGATAGCTGGACTCTTCGGAACTTCTACGTTCAAAGTGGAGGACTGTTCTAAACCGTCATGTTGGTTAAAACAACTGGGAGCTGCTTATTATTTTAACCCTACCTGAGTGTGCCTATCGTGAAAAGATTCGCTGCTGGAGGGCGGAATGTCACATCCGGCGAAAATTATTTCTGCTAAATCTGGCTAACTGCCTTGAGTACGATGGTTGCCACAATCCACCACTCACTATAACGCAAGCTGAGTCGTCACTCTGGCACCCAAGAGTTTGACGAAATGATACTGTAGTGTGCAGTGAAATCGGATTCGCCTGCCGTCACCTGTGGACCAAGTTTGGACGAGATGCTTCATGAAAGCGTTATGACTATTAAGCACTGGCAGCAGTCAGGGAAAAAATGCACTATATACATTTTTCAGACATTCTTGCGGTTTAACGGAATGGGTAGCTACGGACAATTGTGTTTGTCTTGTGATCTAAATACCGTTTACTATACAAAGACATTCCAGCAACTTGCCATACTGTGAAGGCTTCATGAAAGCATCATCCGGCCTACAAATAACGGACAAGTGCCTTCCAGTTTCCATAAAGGAAAACGAAAGATCGCGGCTAAGATAATCCCATCCGGTTAAGTGAGGGGACGAAATCCGATAGTCACGAGCTGTTATTTCTTAAAAGTACAGTATTCAACCGGTTAAACAATATCCAACATGAAATAGCCTTAATGAACAGCCTACAAACAATCACGCATACGGTATTTTCTGGAGGAGTACCAATGTGAGTGCAGGTTTGTAAACTACCTGGAAATTGCTTGAACTAGCAGTGTTCACATATTTGTCGGAATCACTTCAACAGTCCTCATTCACGAGACCCATTCATTTTCTTCCCCAACTTTCCCAGTCGTATGTTCTAATTGATCACCAAATTCTTCCCAGTCGGGGAAATACAGTCGTCTGATTTCCAAATTAGTCTATTTCGATGAAATATTATCTAGCTCCAAGCTGCTAGCCGAAATGTCGGACTGAGTTTCTCTCGTGTTTTTAATAGCACGTACAACCTGAAGAGATTTCAGTTGGTAGTTGGCTAACTATGGGTTGGATGTGTGAGCTAAGCTTGACTTTATGACCTCTTCAGTCTTTCGGCTGGACAATCGATTGCAGGAGGGCAAATTGAAGCTGGGATTCCGGTTTCACTGTGGCTGGTTACCAAACTGATTCGGAGTTTGATGCGGGACTGCCAGTCTTTAGTGAAGTTCTACTGACCAGACAATGATAGCCGAAGATGTCTCAAAGATGTCAATGACATGGTTGATTTTCTGAATGACTGTTTCATTCAACATTTTTTTCGTTTTTTTCCATTCATAGTTGGATTGTTCCCATATGCAGACAAACGGATAAAGCTAAAATGGTTCAACTCATAAAGGAAACTACTCACAAGGTTGCTGAAAACTCTTCGACAGCCCACGATCGGTTTAGCCTATCTTGACGCTCATCAGGTAGGCGCAGTCCCCGAGTTTCCGTCAAACTAATGTTCTGCTACTTCAACTCATCTTCTTTTTGCAGCTTTGTAGAACGGACTGAACTGGAACACTGGTTATGAGCATTCCCTCAGTTAACGATGTCATATTTTCCGTGCTTAAATTGCTGCGGTTTCTTGTGAGAGAGCGTAGCTCTCATATCACCGCTAGGCTAGACTTCATGGCACCCGATTGGTCTGGAAGCATGGTGTGGGAGGAACTGTGAATAAACCTGTTTTCACAAAGTATCATGTTGGGAGGTTTTGCAACTAACAGGTTTTGAAAAGTTATCAAGAAATGATGGGAAATGCAAGTAGATACATATTCGACTACCTTCAGGGGAACGTCAAATTGGCCCGAGTTCGCTTGCATTGTTTGGGTGCTGTAACTCAAACGCGTTTATCACCCTAACAGAAGACAGCATCATCGGTTTGCTAAATCTCTATCGCCGGAAATGTGAACTATTCTTATCGTTTCAGAATGGCGGGACACAAATAAAATGCTAACCATAAAAGACTACATTTGTTTCATTGACAAATCAAAATGTGAAAGCGGATCAGCTAATGAAAATTGTTAGGAAACGTACTCATCCTTCCATTACCTTGCTGTCTGACAAACTGTTGACTCACGTTTCTGGGATGCTTGCTTACTATCCATCTCCATCTCACAAGAGGCATCCCTGCCGATCTGTGCCATGGAGTACTTAGTCATTTGATCTCTCACCTGATGCTTCTGCGTAACTGCAGACCAGACGGGTATGCGCCACCTAAACCTCATGTTTCCTGTGCACCCTCGCTTGCGGGATACAATAACCCATCTGATACGGGCTTGCATTTATGTGGGCTAGTGATAAAAAACTGCCAGTTCTACTGAAGACTGAATGCAGTAGACAGCAAGGGCAACGAAGTATAAGACTGCTGTTCGTAAAACTTGACAGATACAAGCGGAAGTCATCTATCCCAAAAACCTTTGAGGTAGGCCCAGATCTTGGAAAACATGTAGGTGAGCATTTCATTCTGAGTTGTTATATGAGTTGAAGCGATAAATTTTGAAGGACTGGGCAATCACGCGCTAATTGCAACATCACGACGGAGCAGCTCTACTTTTGTGGAAAGCCAGTTGTATATTTCCATCTATTCACAAATATAAATTCTCTAATACATTTTGATGTGGTACGGTATATGTGCTATAATATACTATAATATATTTATGATATAATATAATATGATATATGCCAAGCAGAATAGCCAATAACATTTGAATTATAGGCACTTATAATGGGCATCGTTGACAGGGTGACGGTTATTCATCGAAGCCAAAGATGCGAAATGAAGCGCTGAATTCCTCGGATGGATGTGTATGATGGACGATTTTGGTTTTGTATACCGAGTTCTGTCAAAGTGATAAATATAAGTTGTCAATTTTGAAGGTTAACTGGTTCATCTGACCGCCAAATATGTCATTAAATACAGTGACTGATGCCGTTTACTTAAATCCGCTCTGACGAAATTTTAACTAAATCATCCAACTGCGCAAAAACTACTTTTAGAAATACTATTTATGAAAATAAAGTTATAAATGGCACCGTATTCCAATCTTGTTATCGAGGAGACAAGTACGAGTCCGAAGCTGAAAGTCAGTTTGTCTATACATACAAAGTCGTTATGAGTGTACTTTTGTGTACGTATTGCTAGCAAGGAAGGACTTCCAAAGTCAAATAAATGGTTTGGTGAACGACGGCGTCCATCTTACCGAATCCTCTCATCGTGGTAGGTCAAGTGCAACTTGGAATCATATGGAATCTTCGCTCATCGGGTGAGATTTATTCTTCCTCCTAACTCCTCGACACATCGTCTTATGGTCGGTCGTCTAACGCCAATTTCTACTTCATGGCTTTGCTAGCGTCACCTATACTCTGAAAAGCATTTTCTCACAAGGAACAACTAACATGCCATACCTGCTTGTGTCTCATTGAGAGTTGATGTCTTTCGTTTGGACAACAAATAATACTAATTTTTGAGTAGGCATATTTTCTATTAATCCAATCGTTCCAAAGTTGTATGTGGGGTTTGCAAAGACACCTTGCTCTCCTGGATGTTGGAAAATACAAACTCCCGGTGAATTTCAGGTGAATTTACTGTTTCCTCTGCTTATCTTTCGGGGAAACACTGCGTATTTCAGAACGGTAGTAGACCGGCTGCTTTCCGGCGACCGAGGTTTCAAGGCTGTGAGTGTAAATCTGTGCTATGATTTCTACGGTGTGTTCCACGGCTGCCGAAATCACTTCGGTAGCACGCTATCGATTTCGTCCATCATGACACTCATCCGGTCAGGATGGTTCCTATAGTTTCATTATTCTAATGTTCCAAATTCGCAGCTGGTGAACTACACTCACTTGAAGATAAGATTAGTCCCTTGCGCTGAAAGCTCGTGTAGAACTGCGCACAGCTCCCCGTCGAATGGGTGGATTGATTTGCCTTCTTTGCTTTTGGCGTCCGCAAACGTTCGGACTCCCGGACTTCCGTGGTCTGGATGTGTGATCCGGGCTTGATAATATGGCATCCTGTTCTATTTGTGTCAGGTTTCAGTCCTCACCTGGTATGTGTATTGCTTGGGATCGGAAAGATGTTCATCTGTTATAGAACCAGATAGCTGAATGCATGAAGTGGGAACAAAGTTGACACACCGCTTCAGCTTTTGAAAAAGCCATTCGTCCTCCGGAGATGCAACTATGGGCTATTGAGTCAATGACGTCGTCCAAATGGCTCAAGCAGAAGACGGCCGCTCGTAGGATAAGGCAGAGTGAACTTGGATTTGCCCCATCAAAATGTCACCTAATCGATGGAGACATAATATTGGGAAGGATTTGGAGGCTGGAAAACGTGTACGGGAAGTGTATGACTGTTTGGGAACTAGGCTGATTCATGAGTGGAGCTCACTGAATTTTACTGCCAGTTTTTCAAGGAGAGCTTCGAACAGGCAGTGATGAATTACCTGAGGTCTTGTCAGATTAGCCGAAATAAACTACTGGTTTCGAAGCGAGACACTTATCTCATCTCCATGGAATACCCGTCGATTTGAGATGAAGTGTACACAAGAAGAATCCCCAAACCCGGTTCTCCAAAACTTCAAAGTACAGGTTTGATTGACGATTGGCCGTATCTTTTGGTAAGTTCTTATACTGATGTGTTCAAGCGTGAATCCACGAGGGCGGATAAGAGTAGTACTTTGCGGCCATTATTAGTTTGAATGAATCCTGTCCCGTAAGACAGTCATTGATAAATTCCGGGTAAATTTGATGAACATCAAATTTAATTCATCACTTCTGTTCAATGCCGATGGGAGCGAAACAAAACTAATGGTCAATTATATACGCAACCAAAATAATGACGTGTTGTAATCCGTGATTAAAACGGTAAAAGCCGTTTGAGTCACAACTGACTCGCTTGATTGGTCAGACACCACGTGATCATACCATGGGAGTCGCAGTTCGCGTACGGATGGCTTCTGAGTACATGCATTCAGGTTGCGTGAACGAAACTAAAGTGCCGCCGCTACGACCTGACGTTGAGTATAAACGGATCAGGAGTTATAGGCAACCATCTGGAAAAGTCCGCCAAAGATGGTGTTAGAATTGATCACGTGACGCATATCGGCCAAGTGAGTGGCCAAGCTTCCCCCCCCCCCCACTACACATAGTACCCACTGGAAATTGAGCGGGCCAAGTCTAAATACACGACTGAGTGGTGACCGATGGGGGTAAATCACTCCGGCTTCCCAAAGACGGAAAGACTGATAAGTAACCCACAGCGACTGGTCACCTGATGAAATTAGGCACAAAAGACCCGGAAGCTGTGACACATTCCCTCGATGGGAGCGGCCTCAAAATGACGTACACGTTGGTCTATCGGACGTTGACAGGGTAGTCAATTTCGACGTCAAATGGGGTTTGCCATTGTAGGCATGTATATTTGCTGGCAGAATAGAATTACTGTCTAAAGTGTTCGGAAAGCGCTATCTTCTTATCAGATTGGAAAAGGCCGTTGTGAGGAACCCTTTCAAAGTGTCACTCACTGAAAAGATATATGAGTGTGATTAACTCGCATTTGGACAGGATATAGCACTGCTGCGCATAAGCTTTTCCGTGTTGCAGTTGGCACGATATTCGAGATTCCAAAATATTTTTTTTTGAAGTGGTGCACCACTGATCACTTGCTGACTGGCTCAAAAGCTTGTAACAATTGACCAGCAACCTGCCTCACTAACCTCACTGACTTGATACCAAATAACTATTTCCACCGTAGTGGCACTGTCAAACAGATACCCTGAAATGAAGATACCCCTCAGAAAGTGCACTCCACTGGAATGATTAAATTAGTTCTCCCACCGGTAAACCATTTAGTGCGAATTCCCCAGTCCGACATACGCAAACCATTCACCAGTGCCAGACCTTGAAATCGAATTTCCTCTCCACTATGAAAGCTCTGTTAACTGATCCTCTGGCTATTCGGGTGTGTGGAAGACAACAGCGGTGCGTTTGTTCATATGTTGCTTACTATCACGCGAATATAGGCCGAAAGGCCTGCGTGGAAATTCCATTCATGTTTGTGCAGCTCCCTCATCTGTAACACAGCCTCCCATTGGTGGTTTACCATAGTACAATCCTAAAGGGGGATTCGACCACAGAAGAGCTGTAGACCTATTGAGAGTAAGCGATGTGTCCTCGGATTGCTAGCTAATGTGCTACACATGAATTTACACAATATCTCTTTAGAATCGTAACAATGAAAGGTCAAATGGGACGTGGGACTTCCGCTGGTCTCTTCTATAACGGCTGACAATCTGTGCGAGTTGTTTTCCTATATGAATTTTGAAATACTGCCCAATTCTCACACTCTCAACCAAGCATGTTTAAATGCAACGATTTCCATCACATGTCAACACAAAACAAAACATTTTGCGACCATTCATGAATTCAGAGCGAATCGTTTGTCGTATTATTTGACGAGGGCTTGTGTGTTGCGGTAATTCGAATTGATTTTATGTAAAAAGTAGTTCCACCAGTCACTTGAGTGCATACCATATTCGGAAATACAACGTATTGTTCGTGGTGTTCCAGTGAACTTGGTATCCGAACGCCATGCCTCATTAAAGCTTGCAACGCAAACCTCTCTGTGCTCCCATGTACGTTCCATGTGAAGCAATCGGTCCCAACTGACCGTTGTCAGTGATCTCAGAATTGTTTGCTTCGCGTGATTGAGCACTTCACACAGATGCCTCGTCAGGTCAAGTCAATAAACTACCACATTGGTGGGGTTTTAGAACATATAGGTCGAGGAACTTTGCTTTCTCACATTCACCAGGTCCGATCACTTCCACTTCAGAAGAGAAATCCAGAAGCAAACAAAAGTTCGTGATTGCATATTCTCGGCTAGCGTATCACGAAAATCGGTGGACTGACGTCTACACGCATTCCTCACTCCACAGTTTACGGAAGGCCAACTGTAAAATCACTTCCCTGACGAATGTAAACAAAACGTCAAAATCAACAACAGCCATAAGTGAACCACTACAATGAAGTGCAAGCGAAATTTTGGGGCGAACATTGTCTGTCCAGCGGATCGAAACAGTAGTGACGAACACACAAATGTTGTGTTTTTCCTCGGTGAATTGCTCGAGCGAATTGCTCGCCGCTCATTCTCACCGCTAAAGGCCATCAAAGCTTGTAAAATGAACTTCTTGAGTCACGCTCGAGTGTTGTCTCCAAGCAAACGAAGTGATCTTATCAGACCGGTATCGTTGATTTCAGGAGATTTCACAGCACTTGTTTCTTCATTTGCCACAAACGGTTCGTCAAGTTAAGCGATGAGTAAGTTAACACATTGGTGAAGTCGTAACTCAGATAGGTTGACAGGCTTCCCTCGCCCAGTACGATCACTTCCTAAAGAAAAATCCAGAAACACCATCCAGGCCAATGATGGACTCTCATCAAGGCTCACTTCTCGATATTCAGGTTGCGGGAGGGAAGCAATGAAAGCGCTCTTTCTGGTTAATGTAAACGGTCAAAAGTCAAACACAACATATCCTTTCAGTGAACGACTACACTGAGGTGCAAAGGAACTTCGAGATCAACTGTCACCTGTTCAACAGGTGGTGCAACAGTCCTGGTAGTCTTGTCTATTTACTTTCCAGCAACAGCTGGCAATCCTTGCCTAAGCAACGCACTCCTGCTTGGCCCACTGTTCACCATGGTTGAAACTGCGCTTGACCAACAAACTGGTGCGGTCTGTTTGAATACTTTTATTGTTATTTGAACCGATTACCTGGAATTTGCTTATACGTTGCTCTATTCAAAACAACGACTATTTTTAGATATTCCGTCTTCCAAGTCACCAGTGCTTCATCAAAGTCCATCGTATAATTAGGGGAAACGATTTATCAGTCTGCCATACTATCCAAAAACTTAATGTCACCGTGGAACAAAGAGCTGTCGTGAGTGACGATGTGTGCACTCAGATCAAAGCATAGTCTTTCCATGCCATGAAGGCATTTTTTCTAGCAAAAGTAATCATACTACTTACAAGTTTTACAGAGTAATCATATCCGAAAACCGACAAAGTAGAATCCAGGCTCGTGAAGGGTTAAACTGCGCATGTGTTGAACATTCCGTCATACGGCGTTTGGAAAGCTATTCACACGCGTTGAATGATATATTAGTGTAAAGAATGCTCCCGAGCTTCAGGTTAGAGTGGACTCGATATAATGACAGAAATGCTGGTGAATACACCAGTGGATACAGTAGATAAACAACCCGATTATTTGACCACCGAGGGTGGCCTTTATGAAGGCAGACAACTTGCCAGAGGCTGATTGGTAAACCGTCATGTGTGGCGTGACTGGTGTAAACGTCACGTGTTTTCTGCGCTTGTGCGTGCGCACGTGTCTGTCACGCTGTGTGAAGGCTTCACAGCTGACTCCGTGAGTGACCTGCCCGATCGCGTACGGACCCTCGTAGCTGAGTTGCCCATGCCTAGTATATTAGCTGATAATGTCTGCCTAAGTGGTGTACTTCTGCCGGACGAATCACTTGCCACTGCCTCACTTTTAAGCGGGACTTGATCACTTAACACATAAAAGTGTCGCTCTCTTGGGTGGTATTCAAGAACATTTTATGTTGTTGCATTTATGTTTTTTTTCGTCTAGAAGTATGTTAGAAGTCCTTCGGCTTCTGTAGACCGGTCCCTCTAAGGCGGTAATGGAATTTGTGGAAGTTGCTTTTCCAGCGGTCTGCTTTATCACCATAAATCTATAAACGTATAAATCTAGGGTTACAGTTATCGCGCTGTTCGTAGGTTTCATGCCTGACCTTGGGATTAAGCCGCCTTGTCACGTGATTGGATCGCCCTTGTTTGATGAAGTAGTCAACGAACTAAATGATAATCCGAAGCCGTAAGGGTGCTCCGCTGGGATGATTATCACATTTTGAGCGTAGAACGACCGAAGTTATTGACAAGGTTGTGAAATACAGGTAGCTCAGGTGAGCTGCTTGGTTGTTGGCGTGT